ATACCACAGCACAACAGTCTAATACAAGTACTGTCACAACAATGGCAGGTTCACAGTAAGTGTTTGTCCAAATATAGTTTTATCCTAACATGTTATTATTTGTTATTTTAAGAGTTGACATGGGATTAGGAGTAGGTAGTTTACAAGAGACATTGGTTATGGAAAACTTTGATTTCCTAACTTGTTAGGATCTGATATGTGCACATAAGCAGTTGAAAATGTTTTCCTCCAGAACGCCGCACATGAGTTCAGCCACAGTCGGTGCCAACTCTGTGTCTAAGGCTAAGCCTGAGGAAGGACTGATTCTTAATAGCAGTACTGTAGCAAAGTCTACAAGTCTGCAAGTAGCTCCAACAAATTCTTCCAGAGTCGTTTCCCCCAGCAACCCTCCAGTGTCCATAGCTGCGAAAACCCCTCCTCTCCAGGAACAAACTGTCCACTCCACTGTTTCAACTGAGCAGACAGATGCAGAAGGGGTGAGTTGTGTTATACCAATTTCCCTTCTTTATTGAAATATTATTTCTCTTTTTCCCTGTTTTGATGCTCTCTTCTTTTCTCTTTTCTCACTGTTCTGGAGCTTCAGTCAAAAGATTTTCCTGTAAATGATGGAGCTTGGACATTTGCACACATTTACACACATTTACAGACATGTACTCAGATTTACACATGCATGTATACTTGTATACATAAATCTACAAATGTGCACAAGTGTACATTTACATTCAAGTACATGTGTATACGCATATAAATGCATATTGTTGACTTGTTTGCTTAGAGCAGGAATTGCGCCTGTTCATGCGAGTCGTTTGTTTCTTCTATATAAATTGGTGAGCAGTTATCATATTTTTGTGCAACTAACTGCATCTGAAAAAGAAATGGAGGTAGTTTCATTGGTAATTTATTGATAAAGTTTCATAAGGAGAATGTTAGAGAAATTGAGCTTAACCTGTAGCCGACAGGTGGCATGTACGTACATGCCATGGCTGTTGTGGACCGAAATATGGATGGCACCACTGGCTTGTCGGGCAAAGTTTGTTTTTCTCCGATAGTTGCGGCTTCATTTATATGGTAAAGGTTTTAGGCAATGGCACCTATAATGAAGGTAAACCTTCAAAATTTTAATATTTTTATAAATTATAGCAAAATAAAAGCTTTTAGGTGCTAAACTACAGATCAAGCCAGGCGCAAACAGGGGAAACTGCCGATGCATGCCAACAATCCTGTTCTTACGTCCACTTGCCAAACATTTTTACCCGTCGGCACTGGGTTAAGATATACATTTTTTTTTTTCTGAAATTTCAGGCAATTCCATATTGATGACTTCTTAACCAATTCTAATTTGGTTATTGCATTGTAAAACAGTGGGGGATGTTTGACTTTGACTTTTTCTTCTTTTTAAATTTTTGTTTTTTTTTCTTCAATGAAATTTTGAAGGTCAGTAAGGAGATCAAATAGATTTATTGAAATTTTATTTATTTATATATTTTTCAGGGGAAAATGAAGTAAAGGGAAAAAAAAGAGAAAAAAATGCAAATAGTTATAGTTTGATGTAATTTTAGATGTTTTATTCTTTAGTTCATTATCTCCAAGAAGAGATTTATTCCGAAACATATATAAAAAAGTGGAAAAAAACATGTATTTGTAAGAGGTATTCCCCCCCCCCCCCATATGGCCACCCCAATAGATTTAGTAAAAAACACCCACACAAAAAAGAAAAAGAAAGAAAGAAAAACAACAGGATATTGGAGCCCCTGCACATGCGCTCGAAAAAATACAAAGTGTTTCATTTATTATTATTTATTTATTTGCTTAGTTACATATTTATTTATTATTTTTTATTTACTCCTTATTTCTTTTTAATAGTCCCCTTAATAGTCAAGGAGTCTTTCTTTCCATCATTTAGTTACTCACCATCTACGCATGTCTCTGCAGAATGGAAAACGGCGGTTTATCAAGGGCCGGGTGGCAGTGTGTAGCAATTGTGGCATCCTGAGTGAAGACCTCCTAACGTGCCAAAGGTGTAATCACAGGACAGACACAGCGCGCACCCTGGCGCAGTCGACCATCACCACCTCGGGGAAGAGCTCAACAGCAGACTCGACAGTGGTGGGAGGAAGGGGTGTTGGCTTCTCAAACATGCATATAATGAAGCAGGTAAATGTCTCTTTGGGTGTCCAGTTTAGGGGGATAATTTAGCCTCTAAATTCTGGGATTAAGAATTAAAATTCATCTTTTACCTAGGGCAGATTTAGTGTTTGTTGTTTGAAGGGCTTGATTTTGCACTCGAGAGTATGTGCCTTGTGCTGCTTTATGAAATAGTAACCAAAAAGGGGAGCATCAAAGTTGAAAAAGTTAGTCCTTTGTATGAAGGAAATGGGGTGGTCCTAGGGGAGGGTCAGTAAGAGGCTAGGCCACCAGACGAATAGAAGGTCCAGGGGGGTAGGAGGAGGCATAAGGACGGGGGGATAGCTGTCTATGGCCTTGAGGCTAAAGGAAGATACAGACCACCCACACAAGCACACCAAGCACACATGCATATGCAAGCACACCCGCACATGCACACACACACACAGACATGCACACAACGCACGCTCACAACGCACTCACACAGACACGCACACACACACACAGACATGCACACAACGCACGCTCACAACACACGCACACAACACGCACACAGACACACACACGCGCGCGCACACACACACACACACACACACACACACACACACACACCACACACACACACACACACACAACACACACACACACACACACACCACACACACACACATACACATACACATACACATACACATACACATACACATACACATATATACATATACATATACATATACATATACATATACACATATACATACACACACATATACATACACACACATACATACACACATACATACACACATACACACACACATACACACACACATACACTCATTCACTCACTCACTCATGCTCACAATGCAAGTTCCAACTCCTCATATCCCCAATTGTTGTTTGACTAGATTGACCCATGACCTCAAGCTGTTTTTGTGTCTTTGTTGAATGCTGCATTGATTTTTTTTTTCACTTATATTATTTTTTTATTTATTTTTTATATGTATGGATTTGTGTAAGATCTTTTTATTCAAAACAAAATTGTAGAAAATACAGAAGCCTTGATTCTTCTTCATAGTCTAGACTGTTTGTGTGTGTGCATATATATATACACACATACACATACACAAGGCATATTAGCATATCATTCAGTACAAAGCACCTACAAAGTAAAGAAAGGATTAGATAAATGTAAAAGGCTTCTTAATGAGGCATGAGGCAAGCAGACTGTGGAGGCATCAGATACAGTAGCCTGCAAGAGTAATTGCATCCCTGGAAGGCCCAAAGACACCCATTACTTGTGTGTCATAAGCCAATGTTTTATGAAGGCTGGTGGTGCAATTTCTCTATAATGTCACTTAAGGCAGCTCAGACTTTAAGGGTGAAGAGGGTTCTTGGCATGTGAGGCTGGCTTTTGACGCAATTGTCCCCAGTACAGATTGTACCATCATGCTAGAATTTTGCATTTGTGATTTTGACAAGCTTTTTGCCTTTGATATGCTGGTGGTTAAAGAAATGTTAGCAAGTTTAAAGATTTTATATTTATCCAATCCCTCAAACTTCATATAGAGGATATTTTGTATTTCAGAAAGGTTACCTCTGCCTTCTTTTTGTAAGTTTGAATGATAGCCCTCAAAATTTGACACCTTGTATTTCTTCAAATGAATTTTTTGAAGAGTTTATGTATGATATAAAAAGAAGTAAAAAAAAAACATGCCAACTGAAAGGTGCTTGACATCATTATGAATGTGGATGTCATTAATGGCTGGTTTCAGTAGCTCTTTTATTAATATGAAAATGTTTATGCAATTCACTCAAGGAATGCCTGATAACTGCCAGTTCGAGTTGAACAAATGGACATTTTGGTTCATCTTATTTTAACTTCTTGCTTCCTTTTTGTTTATTTAATCATCTCTTTTGTTTTTCTTGTATTTTGAAGGAAAGAAACTTCAAAATGTATTTTCTTAGCCTCTTCCTCTCTGTTGTATAATTGCACTGTAGCATTTGTTTTATTCATTCTTCCTTTACTTTTTTATTGTTTAAGTTTGCAATCACACTAGCCTCTCAGAATTACTTAGATGAGGGAGGGTTGATGTGAGACATGCATTTTAAACAGGACTTCTATGGAAAGACAGGGGGTGGCGTCAGGAAGGGGGTGGAGAAGAAGCCTGCACCTGTTCTCAACCAGAAGGCCAAGGGGCGCGGCAGAGGGCGTGGCAAGACCTACGAGGAGCCAGGTGGGTGTCGGTGTATTATCTCTCCTTGCTCTATCTTTCCTATCCTGTATTGTTCTAATTCTCCCTCCAAGTCCTTCATCTCCTCCTCAGCATCATCTCAATCCTCATCCTTGATTATCTTACATTCATTTTCTTACTCCTCCTTTGCAACTTTTTCCTTTCTCTGTTTTCCTTTTCTACTCTTTCTGTATTTTACTTCCTGTATTATTCTATTTAAAATTGTGGAAATTTATATAAGGCCGACAGGATTAACCGTTTCATCTCATGTGACTTCTCCCTCCTGCCTCCATCCCTCCCTGCAGTTATCCTGACTCTGTCTTCGGATGAGGAGGAAGACGACAAGCGGCTCCCGGGTGCGGCTGGTGTGGCAGGGAACGGGGTTTTCTCTAACCTGGAAGTGAGTCACCCCAAGGGACCCCCCGAACCCATCAGCCACAAGGAACCCATCATTACCCTCAAGGATGATGTACCAAAGGAAGATTCTAGTGGAGGAGTCACAGGTGAGGCCAGCGGGTGATGCTGTTGGCAAAATTTGTTTTCCATTTTTTATCATAATCATCATCATCATCTTTATTATTATTATGTTTTACATTATATAATGTACACACACACATACACACACACACACACACACACACACACACACACACACACACACACACACACACACACACACACACACAACACACACACACACACACACACACAAAAACACAAAACACACAACACATATGTATTTATATATTGTGTGTGTGCATTATATATTGAAAATGTGTATATGCTGGTGCGTGTGCGCGTGCGTGTGCATGTACATGTAGGCATGTGCACGTGCGTGGCCACATGTGAAGTGGTTGATTGTAGAGTGAAAGAAGTTGTAATTTTTATTGTCACTCTTTTGCTATTCCTTTCTATTTTTTTTTAATTATTTTCTTTATATTCCTAGGTGGAGGGTTGCCAGATCTTTCAAGTCTTGATGATGGTACCATAAAGGGTTCATTTACGTCTATACAGTGTAGAAGCATCCGCATTGGGTCATACAAGGTCATGCCTAAAGAGAGGGTAGTGATTGCCTCTCAAGGTCTTCGCTTAAAGCTTCCCACAGTTATTGAAGGTAAGGAGTGTATTTTGAACTGAACTATAATGAACAATAGATTTTTATATATATGTCTATATATATTTTTATATTTTTCTTTATATCTAATGAACATCTGAATTTGGTTTGTCTTTACAGATTCCAGTGAACCAGTATCATTTGACATTCCAATTAAAAGTATTGTGAAAATCCTGGTTCATTTTGGGAGATCGTTACCTGTTCTCTTTATATATGTGAGGCCTTCCACTGCTGCCAATATCAGAAGAATACTAAAAATGTCAGACAGAAATGGATTTTACTTTGATCCTTGCAGTTATGGTAAGTTGTATTGCTCCTGTAAGTGATGTTTGGAAATAATTTTAAACAGACAGTTGTATGTCCTTAGGGATTAGCCTTTTACATTGACACCTTAGAAACCAAAGGAATCCTTTACCATGAAAGAATACCATTTTTTTGTTATAATGAATGTTGTATTAACCAGAAAACCAGGCAGCTCTAACACTGCTTCTGTTGTACAAATGTGTTTGAAGTTGCTACTTCTAGGGCTCTCAAAAGTAACTGGTCACTGGCAGCAAATAACCATCTGTGGCTAGTTTTGCTACTGGTGAGCAGCTACTTTTGAAAACCCTTGAAGTAGCAACTTCAAACACATTTAAAGTTGCTACTTCAAGGGCTCTCAAAAGTAGCCGGTCACTGACAGCAAATCGCTGTCTGTGGCTGTTTTTGACATAATAGAGCTCCTATTGCTCCTATGGTTATTACAGAAAAATGGTATTAGCATTGCTGATTTGTAATACAATCTCCATTTGGAGAATTTATCAGGTTAGATCTAAAAAAGAATTTGAACTTCAGAATCCTCATTGTGGCCAATCTCTCTTGCAGACGAGTCACAGAAGCGCATCACAATCCTCCCGGACAAGATGTCTGAGGAGACCAAGTCACTGGTGAAGGAGATCCTGAGTGCTTCAAACCCCAAGCCTAATGGTGGGCTTGGAACAAGCACGACTTCGGTGGACATTGGGGCTAACCTGTACGAGGAGCTTGACCAGAAAGAGGCCAATGAGATCCTGGTCAGGTCCTCACCCATGGAGGTTTGTGCTTCGCTCCAATTTGGGCATGAGAAGGGAATTATAAATGAGCTATATCTTCTTTGTAGTTATTAGGAAGTCAGATGGGAAAGGTATATGTTTAAAATGTACATATGAATGTTGTGTCAAAAATATGTGGCTTGGATGCATGGTTGCATTATGTAAAATATGATCTACAATGAGCGTTTCTGCTAGGTACAGAGCTTGATAAAGAAGACGCCTGTCGCATCCGGTGCTAACGAAACCAAGACGTAAGTGTAACTTTTTTTTGTCACTTTTCCAGTTTTACTCTTGAGTTGACAGATACAGGAATGCAGAGTACAATTATTAGGTGCATGGTCATATGAAACACATTATTGTTATTATTATTTCTTCTTATTATTATTTTATATTTCATTTATTTATTTTTGTTAATATTTTTTTACAATGATCCAACTCTCACTGATTTTGTTATAGATTGCTCATCTACCCACCACCACCGCAGAAGGGGGGAATATCTATCACAACAGATGACTACTGCTGCCTAGAGGAAGAACAGTTTCTCAATGATGTTATCATTGATTTCTATCTCAAGTAAGAAACTTTTTTTGTATAGTGAATGCATTGTTAATGAATTTTGAATTGGCTGTGAAAACATATTGCAACATTGAAAGAAGAGCCATAAAAAAAAATCAGAAATGAAAACAATCTTGTGGAAAGAAAATTTTTAGTTTTTACAAATTTGCACAGTTTTTGTAACATGTTAGGCATGATATTAGAATTATGAAGTAGTTAATATAATTAGTATATCCTCATTATTTAGCTGGATTTCGTATTATAATTGCGTGATTTAAAATTCATCATTCTGAAGTGAAATATCACCACTAGTGAAGGAAACCCAAAATGCCTTGAGATTTTGAGAAATGCTCCCATAAAATAGTAATACTGAGATTTTAAACTTTAATGTAGTCTGACTCAAGATATCTCAGTTTCAGTATTTCCCTTATTTTGTCTCTTGTTCACATGAAATAAACATGTTATTATGTGTATTTTACTGTTAGTGACTCAAACCAACTAATTTCTTTTCCTGAAGATGGCTACTACAAAGCAAACTGCCGGAGATTCACCGCAGCCACACACATGTCTTCTCAACTTTCTTCTACAAACGGCTAACCTCAAAACCTAAGAGGGGCCGAAGACCCCATACCACAGAGGATGATCCCAAGCTCTCCCCAGCAGAGAAACGACATGCAAGGGTCAAGTCCTGGACGAAAAATGTTGATATCTTTGAAAAGGATTTCATCATCATTCCTATAAATGAACAGTATGTTACTATATATGTTCTGTTAACCAATTGGATCTGCCCCAAAATTTGGGTATTATTGGCTTACCTGAGTGGCAACTCCCTGTGTATGGCTTGTAGGTCTGGCCCACACGTATACTTTTGTGTGGTGTCAAGATTTTGTGCCTCCCCTTTGCAGTGCTATTTTTTATATATCTATTTTTTAGGTTAGGTTTTTGTTTTTTGCCATTTTCCAATGTTTCTATTTTTATTTGATATGCTGTATCAAAAGGCACTTGACTCTTTTCTTTGCACAGACTCCATATCACCCCTCTAGGTAGTCCTAACAGTGTATTAATGATAACATTGAAGTAACATTTTGTTATTGGTATCCTCCCTGGAGTTGTTGCTCTTCCAGTTATGGTTCATGGATGGTATCCACTCATTTTGGACAACAGAAAAAATGCCCTTCCTAAGTCCCACTGACTAAATGAGTCATTCCCATCACTGCGGCCTTCAGCCAATATTCTTATGATGGAAATGTTCCCATCACCCTGGCCCTCAGCCATTTTTCCACAACTTTATGTTCGTGTCATCTGTCCCTCAAACCAAGTTTTTTCATGTGATGGTCACATCACCTGGTTTCAAGGGGTTGATATGTGTATAGTTCATTAAGGTAAAATTTGACTTATTTTTTCTAAGTATACTGATAAACAAGAAATGTTCAGAAGGAAAAAGAATAATGTTTCTCATCTTTCCACCTTTCTTTTGCAGTGCCCATTGGTTTCTGGCAATAATATGCTTCCCTGGCTTAGATTCCCCAATAAGAATCTGTGATGGCCAGCCTGTTGCACGGCCAATATCTGAGAAACCCAAGCGACGTAGATCTACCAGGCCCAAAAACAGAATTGAGGTTAGTGACATACTTCTGCATTACTTTCCCCATATTCTCTTGCCTTACATTTGTCAGTATGGTTTTTGAATGGTTAATATTAGAGCAGCTTTTCCTTGTTTTCTAAATGATAAATTTTCTTGTTCAGCAGATCCCCATCATTGATGATGGAGAGTGGAGTGACAGGGATGAGGCTGAGGGAGAAGAGGATGAACTTGAGGAGGAAGAGGAAGAGGAGGATGTTCCAGCCACCAAGAAGAACAAACTGGAAGCGGGCAAGGCTGAAGAGGCACAGGGGCCCAAGGAAGCAGCCACCCCACCACCTGCTATTAAGCAGTGAGTTTTGAGTTTTGAGCTTGTGGAAGGAGAGAACTTGTGTAAGGGGCAAACACTTTGTAAGAGGGACAACTGCCTAGAAGAGGGAAACTTGCTTGTCTAAGGCAGAGAACTGTTTGTAGGAGCAGAGATTTGTCTTTTAGACCGCACGTCATGGGATTTCTCCAGACCACGCCAAGCCATGCACCAGGCATTGTGCACAGGCAGCTACTAGAATGAAAAATTAGAATCATTGGAAGCATACATTTACCCTACTTTGTGTGTGTGTGTATTGTGTTATTTTTAGAGAGAGAGAGAGAGACTGAGAGACTCTCTTTTTCTGTACTTTTCTGTTTTGACAGTTTTTGAGGCTTTCCTATGTATAAAATAGTTTTTTTTTTTTAGTAATTAATGAGAAAATGAGTAAAAATATGCTTGGCTTGCATACCACCAAAACTTGGTGTGAAGAATGATTAGTATTGATACACAATATTAATTAAAAAAGGAAAGACTAGGGTGTAATTGTGTTTTCATGACAGTTGTATTTAACCCATTAACGCAGGTATATTTTGAAGCCGAAAATAAAAGATTCCGGGTGGCTACAAAATCGGCTGAGGGGGTGCATTGGACCGAGAGCCCTGTCACGCTGCGGGACGCCCGGCAATGTTTATTTTTTGGGGTGTCTCGTATGTGGGAAACCCGTCGTTAGTGGGATAATGTCCTTCAAATTTATCATCTCCAGGCCCTGCATCCTAATATTTGACTCCCTGACTGGTGCCAACCGTTCACGCATCGTGGCCACCTTGAGGGACTACCTGGCTGTGGAGCACAAGATCAGGAGGGGCAGTGAGAAGCTCTTCAACAGAGACACAATGAAGGGTGCCTGTCCTCGCGTCCCCCAGCAAATGAACTACTCTGACTGTGGAATTTATACGCTACAATTTGCTGAGAGTTTTTTTGAGGTGAGATGTTCTGGGGGTACTCTTATGTATCTAAATATCTTCGTATTAATTAATTTTTTTAATTCAGGTTTTAAATCCGCATTTTAGGTTTAAACTGCGTGCTGATATGAATGACCTTACTGCAGTCCTTTTCATGTTTTGATGCATTTTCTGGCAGGACAAATATCACAAAGTGAAATTGGCATTTCTATATAGCACTTGTTTCACATTTTCACCAATTGTGTAATAATTGCTATTAATGGCTTTCAAAAATATTGGGATGAAATGCAGGTAATATATGTTGTTCCTTGTCTTCAGTCAAGTGGTTGTTGTTCTATAGCATGTTGCTTGTTATGCTGTTTTCAGTGTTCAACTGTTTTAGTATGGTATTTACATAGCTATATATAAAGAGCATTTATACCACTGTCTTGTGGAATGCCTACAGATTCTTTATCTTATATTCTTTATGTGTACCTATATGTGCACAGATTCTTTATTTTATGTTCTTTATGTGTACCTACATGTACACAGATTGTTGAAGTTTTTTCTTGTCCATTGCAGCACCCGCTCAAAGACTACACTTTCCCAATCCGCTCTCTCACTGAGTGGTTCCCCCACGAGGTGGTCAGGGGGAAACGGGAAGCCATGGCAAAGCTGATTCGCAACCTCATGGAGCAACACAACCCCAACCACAGCTCCATCACCCTTCCAGACATTTACTTCAGCTCTGACGACAAGAAGGACAAAGGAGGGACAAGCACGGCCCATGCCAGTGACGCCTCCCAGCCACAGAAAGAGGTGTCAGGTCAGGGAAAACCGGGTGACAGCAAGACCCCAGAGGTGCAGCTGAAGAAGGAGCAAGAGAGGGTCATCATTAAGGATGGCGTTTTAACCCAGGTTGAAGGATCGGGAAGAGAACAGAATCACAGGATGGATATGTCCAGCAGTGCTGAAGTAGTCACTTCTCTCCCAAACAATGACAACACAGCCTGCATCAAGGTGAACAGAGTGACACCCTCAAAGATAACACCCACGAAATCCCCTACTGTCAATCCAGCCATGTCCAAATCCTCCTCCAGTTACACGCCAGTGAAAACGTTACCAAATTCTAGTAATATAATTACAAGCCAAGTGAACTCTGTGAAATTTCAAGGCACAACTTACTCACAAGCAAAAGCTATACCATCATCAAGAGTAGGTGATGCGACAATTGTACATGAAACACAATCTCCTCAGGTGAACAATGTGAGAAGACAGATGGTGTACTCTAGTGATGATGCCATTTTCCCAGTCAAAGTTGATCAAAAAAAAGTTCCTATGAGAGAAAACAATGCAGCACAGCTCAGCGAAACACACCAGGGCACAGAGGTCAGTGTAAGTAAGATGTCAGCTCTCACTTTGCTTCAGTCAGTATACAGTGATGATGAAAGTGTAATAAGCAACAAGGTGATGGGGGTCCAGTATGATGGCAGCAACTGTTTGAATCAGATGAAGTCTGGCCCCAGTGTAGTGCAAGGTAATGAAAAAGTGGCTCTGCCAGAAATGAACGGTGCACTGGAACAGGTGGCAAGGGAGAAAACTCAGACGTCGGTGCAGAATGTGGTAAGTGTAAATGGTACAGTTCACAGTGATCTGAAAGGCAACCACATCATGCAGGTGTCTCCCAATAAAAGTCTCCCCATGCAGTCTCCTGGTCGTAAATGTATTGACACCCCCAGGCTCTGCATTCCCACCCTCAGGCCAAAAACTTTCCAGCTGCCAGTCAGTATGTATCAAATGTAAATACTTCCAATATAACAGTTCAGAACTTAAATAACACAAAGACAACTTTCCCATGTAGTCCAGTTACAAAATCTCATCCCCACTCTATGGCTCCTTCTCCACAGTCCAAGAAAATAGAGTCAGTGATGACAGGCAGCCTTGGTGTGGACAAAGTGGGGAACCCGGTGAAGGCAGTCGAGTCCTCTGGCCAGACAGCCATCATTGATGAGGACACGGCTGAGGTGCTACTCATCATGCCTGCCAAGAACCAGACATCCGGCCAGATTCCTCGGACTGCCAAGAAGCAACTAGAGAATTCTTCACCAGAAGACGACAGCATCATGATAGAAGAAGGCCCAGGTTTTGGGGGATATGTGACAGCTGACCGTCGGCCCATGAAGAACAGCTTATCGTCTGGAATGCCAAAGATGGGTGCTGTGGGAGGGGCCATGAGCGTGGTGACATAAGACGCAGTGGTGGTGTATTTGGCACTTCACCACCACACTCTGGGTCTTCCTCTCCCACACATGCTGGAGGCACTGGCACTCCTGCTGTGTTTAGGTTCAGTGAGCGTGGCACATCTTCAGGCAGGACTATTGCTCCTCCCAAGCGTTATCTTGATGAGGATGAGGAGTTATATCCAAAAAAACGACGTGATAAAACAGTACAAGGCAAAGCGCGTAGTATTGTTAGATAAATTCTAGGCGTGTTTGCAGAAACTAGTGAATATTACAAGTTTTTAGAATGAATTGTGATGGTGAGCTCCCAGTTCGTACTGGAAGAATGTCTTGATTATCAAAAATATATATTATTTTTTCAGGAGAACAAAAAAAAAAAAAAAAAATGTAAATATTCCTGATTAGTGTTTTTTTCTCTCCTTTTTTTTTTTTTTTTTTTTTTTAGTATAAGCCTTCTGTTTGAGGTGTGAATACTCTTATTATTGACAGGGGTACATTGAGAAAAGTCCTCTTTTAACTTACCAGTAAAAAGGGAAAATTACAAGTAATTTAAGATAAATAAATTACCCATACAGTTTACATATTTTAAATCTGCTATGTTAGCAGTGTATATATATATTTATATATATGTATATACATGTCTGTCAACATATCCACTGTGAATTGCTTGTGTAAGTAGGCCAGTGATAAAAACCGGTATGTCGGGTTCAACATGCAAATAAGCTTTTTATCAGCTGAGTAAGGGAGTTTGAAATGGAAAAAGTTCTCAGGAAGGTGTGTGACAAAACTAACCACAAGCGTTTTTTGATTGTTAGAAGGAACTGTTATATATATATATGCATTAAAGTCTCTCCTCGCGTACAAATTTTAGTTGTATAATCTTGGGGGTTTTGGTCATTGCACTTACAGCCCTTTGTTTTACTCTCCCTGTCGAAGCGGGCACTTTTCAAGCTTTTGAAGCCTACCAAAATGAAATGAAATCAAGAACATTTTTAACAAAACCAGTGCAAGATACAGGTACGTTTTATTTCCCATGGAAAGGTGCTGCTGAGATATGTTATACAATTTATGGTATGTAGCTCTTGAGTTGTGGTTGGAAATGCCTGTAATGAATCTTTATTTATAGAGTTTGCATTCTTCGGTTCTTCCTGTCTCTTAGGCCTTTTGGACTCTTTCATTTATACGTCACTGATACATTAGAGAGCTTTCTTGATATGAACCATGACATTTCAATTTAATTGAGATTTGAAGTTTGTCAGGAAATTTTTATCTGTATGGCCAAAAATATTCAACTGATATAAAATAGAGATCTGTTATGTTCTTTGGTGTTGTTATTTGTTATCTCTCTCTCTCTTCTCTCTCTCTCTCTCTCTCTCTCTCTCTCTTCTCTCTCTCTCTCTCTCTCTCTCTTCTCTCCCCCTCTCTCCTCGCTCCTCTCCCCTCTCTTTCTCTCTCTCTCCTCTCCCTCCCTCTCCTCCCTCCCTGCCCCTCCCTCCCCTCCCCTCCTCCCCTCCCCCCTTCCTCTTCTCTCTCCCTCCCTCCCTCTTTCCTCTCCCTTCCCTCTTTCTCTCTCTTCCTCTTTCTCTCTCCCTCCTCTTTCTCTCTCCCCTCCCTCTTTCTCTCTCTCCCCTTCCCTCTTTTCTCTCCCTTCCCTCTTTCTCTCTCCCTTCCCTCTTTCTCTCTCCCCTTCCCTCTTTCTCTCTCCCTCCCTCTTCTCTCCCCTCTTTCTCTCTCTCCTCTTCTCTCTCTCCTCTCCCTCTTTCTCTCTCTCCTTCCCTCTCTCTCTCTCTCTCCTTCCCTCTCTCTCTCTCTCTCTCCTTCCTCTTTTTTCTCTCTCTCCCTCCTCTTTTCTCTCTCTCACCCTCTTTCTCCAGGCCCCTCCTCTCTCTCACCCTCTTTCTCCTGGCCCTCCTCTCTCTCCCACTCCTTGTTCTGTTCCCTCCCACTCTCACATTCCTTCTCCCTCTCTCCCCTCCCCTCCCCCTCCCTCTGCTTTATAGCCCCACCATCTTTCAAGAATGCAATTGCGAGCCCAATTGCAGCCAGTTCAGAATGTACCATATTTGTGTTTTCTTCTTTTGGGGAATCTTGAGTCTCGCAATGAGAATTTTTTATTATTACTTTCTACAAAGTTGAATGGACGAGAGAAAGTAAAAAAAAAAAGAATGAAAAGGAATTCCAATTGAGTTTAAAGTCTAATGCATAATCCTGTGGCGTTTCTGGGAATACAGTTTAATGGACTGGAAACTAGGAAAAATCGTCGATTTTTGTAAGAAACATTTGTGTATGACGGCAGTTTATTTCATAATAAATAATATTTTTTCTGAACGATATATTTTTGATTGTCATATTTACCTCCTTTCCCCTTTGTGCCAACCTTGGATTTGCAATTTGGTTTTATTACAATGATACGTTGAGGTAAGTAGCTCAACCATGTAATGATTGAGTTCTTTGTTACTTCATTTTTATTGTTTCCTTCCTTATCAACTCTGTAATTATGTTATTTGGTAAATAAACAAACAAATACACAACTTGTAAAGGATTTATTGCAATTGTCTCAACACTTGGTTTCGGCCGAAAACGCCGACGGGTCAGTAAGCTTCTACTAAATTAGATTTTTCCAATTCAGAGCAGAAGCAAGGCGGGTGGGGACCTCCAGGGTTATAAGCTAGAATTAGAGAAACCCAATTCTAAACTTTCTAGAACGGGAAAGACTTTACTTCGGACAACTTCCTGTTTATTCTAATAGGATATCTTTTTAATTTTAAAGTGTGATTTCCAAGGTGTTCCCGTCTTCCCGAATGATGGACGGAGTGCGGAAGTCACGTCTTTTCGTTCAGGCTCGCTCGTCGTGATTTCATTTCTCTGACTCCTCCTTTTAATGCGAAGAAGGAGGAACAGTGACTCGTCTCAAAAAGAAATCGAAAAAAATAGTGTTATGTATGTTTTAACTTTATATTCGAAGATCCTCATAAATATGCCGGGAACATTTGTGCAAAAATCAGACTAGAACAAGTATTGCTATACCCTTGCCCTCTAAGTTACTTGCACTGCCAAAAAGCAGTTCGTTTTATTCACAAACAAGTTTGGCCTCCGTGGCCAAGGCCTGGCCATCGCAGTGACAGGACATTCCACAGGATATGTACACGGGCTTCGAAAGAAGGACGTGAGGAGGAGGCTACTGGGCCTGCGGCGCCGCAGCCTCGTGCGCCGCGCACTTAGGGCGTGATGGCGCCCCGCTTTGGCACCGCCGGGTTGGCCGAGTCCAGCCTGGAGAGGCTGGACACGGTGCGCAGGTCGTGGGCCGTGATGGTGTGGTGGCGACGGCCGACGGCGCTGCCCGCCAGAGGGGAGTCGAGGCGGGTGCGCTGCGCCGGCGCCTTCGCCTCGGCCAGCACGGTCGCGCCCTCGGAGGAGCCCTCGGGGAGCTGTCGGAGGAGGCGTGCTGCCGCTGCCGCCGCTGTCGGAGCCGCTCAGGGTGAGGCGCTCCCTCGGCGGGTAGTGCTCGATCAGGGAGAACTCCCCCCTCGCCCCGCCGAGCCCCCTCCCTGCCGCTGCTCCCTGCCGACGACCCTGCGGACGACCCCTGTCGCTGCGCGCTCCTCGGCGCGTCGGCGGCGGCGTCGGCGCTCTCCTGGCGGCGCGCGTCGCGAAGGGAAGCAGCCAGCCGTTGGCGGCGTTTGTGGTCGCTGTGCACGGCCGCCCCTCCCCGCCCCCCTCCCCCTGCTGCAGCTCCGTGGCACTGCCTTCGCCCTGGCTCGGGGGCTCGGGTGTGGTGTGCGGGCTGGGCGTGGGCGTGCAACGGGGCGTCTGCAGGTCGTCGTCGTCGGTCGAAGGTCGGGGGAAGCGCCGCCCTCGGATGCGCCCCGCGCGCCGCTCCTCCGCGCTCTCCTGCAGGACAGAGGGACTCATTAGCGCTCGCGTGGATGCTGGCGTGGGCCGGGGCAGCCCCGCGCGGCGGAGGGACACTAGTTAGGAAAGGTCTTAATTTTTCCAGAAAGGCGTAGCAAGGATCTAGACAAGGCGAGAACAAAATAAAATTAGGCATGTTCTGAGCGGTGGTCATCGCAACAGATGAAGAAACGGCATGGTGAGAATAACTTGTATTGGCCCGATGTCGATTATATCTTTGTCAGGAATGTATTTCAGACAAAGATATATTTCGCAATACATCTGATGCCTAAGAAGAAATTTATTCTCATTCACACCTTTTGGACAAAGGCATCGGGTATTCCCTAAAGATCAGTCGGTGCCTCTGCGTACACGTCGGCTCAAGCAGCAGCTATGTGGTGGGCTTGAGGCGCGAGCGAAGCGCCCCGAACACCAACAGCTGACTTGGAGTCTTCCCTCTTTAGGCTCCGGTTCTATCAGCTGCAACCCGTGACTTTTTGCCCTTTTCTTCCTCATGCTTTCGAATTTTGCTTCCTCTTGCCCTTTTTTTCTGTAGTCATATTCACTGTACATATATATAACATACCAGGCAAGAACCACACGCTTATTAACGAATGAATGAATGAATAAAATACATAAACAAGAAGAAGACATACACGGAGGCGGAGCAGAAAGATACACGGGACTTAATCGTTTTATCCGTTCCAGTAAAAGGCGAAAACGGGCTTTGTCGTTACTTAAAAAGATACCTAAATACTAAAGAAAACCCTAGGAGAATCTACGAACTTGACTAAACAAAGAAAGAAGCGATGGATACAACAAAAGTGCCTCCACGTCTTCGTTGTGGTTGGGTCTACAAGCGGCGAGGAGCGTGCGTGGCGGGGAATGGCAGTGAGGCTGAAAATAACAGAAGACAATTACGGGGCGAGGAAGGAGGAGAGGGAGAAAGGGAGGGACTTGCCGTGATTTCAGTCGATGGGCAGATCGAGCACATCAATGAGCTGTTGTGGGAGGCGGGAGAGCTGTGGGTAGGTGTCGGTGGGGGAGGTCGAGGCGCTACGTCGACGAGCGCCGGGGCGACCCTACCAACAGGAGGCACGGGAGGCAGTTGTGGGCTTCGTTTAGAACAATCTCTCTCTCTCTCAGTCTTAATTTGGTTTGAAATTCCCATTTTTTTTCTTATGCTTTTGCTTAGTTTCACTGTCTCACCAGATAAAAAATGCTACTGGAAACAGCATGTCTCCGAGTGGACTGACCAGCGTTCGGATCGAACTGGGAACATACAAACATTCATGAACAAAAGAAAGAAAACACCGACTGACAGTTACTTTCTTGGATTAAAAAGATTTCAAAGGATTTAAAAAGTCGGATAAGAAGATGAAAAAAACGATAAAACAATGAAAATGCTTCCTACTGTGAACACGACGCATCCGATTCTT